TATCCAACTTTTCTGCATTTGAAAATTGAACCATTTTTCAATTTTACGAAAAACTAACACAAAACTGAATACACTTTCGTCAAATCTGACAGGTCTTCTGACAGATCGAAAAATACATTATTGCATTTATTTTGACTTATTCATGGCCCTCTATAATACACAATAAAATTGCATTTTTTCATCAGTATTCAAAGAAAACTACAAGTGTGCTATATGGCTGATTTCAGAATTTAATGCAGAATTCAAAAACCAATTGAAAATACTGGGTTACCATATAAAAAAATTGACGTCTGTATCGCGACACCCTAACGGATGACGCCTAGTGATGGATCTATACGTAAATAAGAGGACCCTTTGACACCAAAATTATCTGCTTCCACGAAATATGGATATTCTTTTTAATTTTTTAGATATTTGCCCGCGGAGTTTTATATGTAACGAAATCATTTGAAGTCTCATTTGAAAAAAAAGAAGTAGTGGTATCTCATCAAAACAATGCAGAGTGTCACAAATCAATGAAATTAGGACAAATTTGCATCAATTGGGCTTCGAATTGCTTCCACATCCACTGTATTCTCCAGACCTGGCCACCATCGACTTTTCCCTGCTCTCACTGGAACGAAATTAGGCGCCTATGAAGAGGTAATCATCGAAACTGAGGCCTATTTTGAAGCTAAAGAGAAATCGTACTGTAAAAATGGTATTGAAAAATTTAATGACCGCTATAATCCTTGTATCGCCCTAGAAAACAACTATATTAAATGACAAAATGGAGTTTTTTTTCAATTAGCCAACGAACTTTCCTGCCAAACTCACGTAAATTGATATAGTTTCTATATGAGAACTTCTGAAATAGACATTAATAAGCTTGCACTCAGATACTGTTCCCAAACGTCAGAACTACAACACCATTCTTAACGAGGTTTTCAACCCATCACTGAGATTGAACAGAATTCCATCTCTTTCAAATTCATTATAAGAAAGTGAATTTCTTTGAACTTACCATCACTCTGAAAACAGAAACGATTCTATCAGTCTTGCATTTTGAAGGTTCAGTGTGCCAATCCCAAGACGGGTATGGAGAGATAATTGGATTGCCATTCCTAACTTTATTGGACACTGTACCTAAGGTTACAGGTACACCAGGCTGGAACCTAGGAATGGCGACAAAAACTTTTGTCGCGCCATTGTCACCTTCAACAAAATTTCGAAAATGAAACATTACTATTATTTTTTGAAATTTCAAAAGTATACTACTTGGACTGTTAGCAGAGTATTAAGCCAAAACAAAAAACAAAAACATACTCAAAATAATTGGAGTATGAGTGAGGTTTGACACCAGCATCAATATTTACCCCAGAAATGTATTTTCATTTAACTCTGAAACAAGTTCATTCATCTATTCATTACTTGAATTGTGCTAAAAATTTTCAATGAGTTAATTATAGTCTTTACCAGAGCACAAAAACAATGATTTCGAGATTACACAGAAGACAGCGCTGTTTCAATCCGCTATAAGTTTCATCAGTAATTCTAGGCTGAACCAAGATTGCATTGCCAAACTCAACTGTCTATAAAGGACAAGCTTGAGTAATTGAAGACAATGACTTTTTCTTTCTTACGAGGTCGCCAGAAGTCTCGTTCCACGAATATGAATAATATTCGGGACCCTTCAAGTCAGCCCATCGCGAAGCCAAGCATGGATATTGGCCCCAATTGAGATTTCTTCTCAGTTCACTGTGACGCAACTAGGTGACGTCAGGGATGTCACAACCTTGGCATTTTTAGGCCTTCGTCCATTAAGTAGAGTTGAGTTGAGTAATGTATTCGTAGTTCAGCCTAGCACCACTAATAAACCCTATGGTGGGCGGAAACACAGCTGCCTGCTGTTGGATCAATTAAACTTTTTTCAGTAATCTGGTTTCGAACTTATCCATTGAAAATCTGCATTGGAAGACTGGGACGGACTTAATTTTCTTTTTCAGCTCATTATTGACAGTAGATCGACAATGAAAGCATGGTATACGGCGCCATTCACTTGTTTACGGGTAAAGAAACTTTGAATTCAGAATCTGTAAAGGAAAAACCAGCACCAATCTTCATTTACGCCGAGGCCGATCGTAATTTTTATCCACCGAAAATATCTTGGGTAATCGGTTCAAAAATTTCAAACAACAAGAAGTGTAGCTAGAGCTGGAGGAGATGGAAAAAATCTATCCCGAATGAGAAACAGATAGCAAAGGTTGAGTCTGTAGTGAATAACCCTGAAGTCCACGACAACAGTTGTTCGTGAGAATGATATCTCAACAACAACAGCTGAAAAGTATTAATTCAGGTGACAAATTTACTTTCCACATGAACGGAAATGTGAACAGTCTTTACTTGCTTACACCAGTCGAATATAATCCAATGCCCTTCGTGGGATTAGCCAGAGGAGTGGTTGTTTTCTGGTAGGTGTCAGTCCATGAACCTACAGTGTAGGTAATGGAAGACTTGTCAGAACGAATTGTTCTTTAAAACGATTTGATTGACATCCAGTTTTGAAATATGTCCACTTACTATAGGTGAAATTTATTTTTTTATGCGAGAATTTGGACCAATTCGGATATGCGATTGGTGAGCACCTCGTCAACAGACAGAGGGGGCGATGGCAGATATGTTGCTTATCGTTCGTTTCAGCTTTGTTCGAGGTATGATACTCTAAAAGAATTGGATTTTGAATTATGCGAAATCATCGACTTCGTGTTGATTTAGGACACTACTTTGCACTGACGAGAGGCCAAATAGCCCGAAACCGAACTGCAAGTATGCCCATTCCAATAATTGAAAATCGATTCCGGCAATGGTATCGCCAAAAGCATGTGCAGGAGGTACTTCTGTGAAGAGTTTTGCACTGATACCTGTCGGATATAATCCAACGCCCTTCATGGTATTAGCCAAAGGAGTAGTTGTTTTCTGATAGGTGTCGGTCCATGAACCTACTATGTGGGTAAAGGAAAATTGGCGAGATATTCCTTCAGATAATTTGATAAAGCCATATATTTTTCGTGAAGCTCACACTCAAACTCCTGGGGAAATAAACGTCTGGGCAGAAATATTAGGAAATTATATTGTTGATCTTATATATCTAAACAAATATTTTTCAAAACCCTCACTCCCGGATTCGAATAATGGTGGCCAACAGGAAAAATTAAAAAAATACAGTTGTTTTCTAACAAGATGGAGCTCCCCCACATTTGGAGTGGCCTCTGGAACTATATCAAATCGAAAGTTCATATCATGTAACCTGGGGCAGTACCGGAACTTAGAGCAGAATTACTGAAACTTAGGCAAGGATTGTCTCAGAAACATTCCAAAATATCCGAATAGCCTGTTTTACTGTCATGAGGTTCAAAAAAGTATTTTTTAACATTGTATCAAATGATTTTTTCATGCATAAGATGAATAATAACGTGGTTAAAGTCTAATGGTATCGTTTAATGTCCTTAAATCAACACTTATCCAGCACAAGATGTTAGTTACTAATTTATTAATCTTTTTAATGAACATCTTTTTTCCAAATATCTGATATAGGTTGACAGAGTTGAGAAACTCCTAATCCCAAATTTAAACATCAATGACTTCGCAACCGATTATTAAAATTCAAAAATATGATAGCCATTATATGGAGAATTGAAATACCTTTCATAAGAAATATCACAAGACCCACATTTCTATTTGAAAAAAAGTTTTCAGCGTCAGAGGCAAGTGATGTCACTCCATTAGCTTTTTTATGAAAATGATTTCTTTTTCCAGAAATTTTGTTCGACCCTGATATTTTGCCCCATTAGTAAGTCAAGAGGAGGGATTATGTATGTTCACACTGTATTCAATATTAATAACGTTTGCTGTTGTACTATTCGTCATAAACAAAGCAATTCAACTGATGTTAATTATAAATTGTAGAAGATACCAAAAAAACATCAAATGATTATATAATGAAATGATTTGTTTATTCCAACAGTAAAAATTAATGAGTTAGATGACATCACCGCTAGCATTTTCAAACATGAATATCTTCAACGTGAATCAAAATGACGTGAAGGAATCTCTGATTTACCAGGAAATATGATAGATCTACTAGAAAATGTGATCGTTTCTCTATTGAACAATTTACGTAAAAGTTGTGAATATTATCACTTACTTGGATAGTGGATGTCTACATCAATAGGTGCGGGTCTTCCTGGCATGAAATTTCCGCTGTTGATATCAGCCTGTCTGATACTTTCAGAGGGATAGTCAAATTCAACCTGGGACCACTGAAAAATCACTTTCAAATCTTCATTTGCTGCCAAACTGGAACGAACAGCTGTACTGCAAACTCCCAGTAGGAGACAGATGAATTTGGATCCTGCAATAATTTCAGGGACATGAGTTTTTACCTATGAAAATATCATACTCCAACTCATGTTACTTGAAGTTTGTTATCGTCAGGCAAAGATACAGTTTCAGTTATTTGGCCAACAGTATACAGGGTGTCAATTGGAAAACTTTCCACCCTTAATATTTTCCTTTCAGTAAACAATATGAGGAATCGAAAAAATAGGTCCATTTTATTGTCAAGGGGGACACTTTCAAGGTCTATTTGTAGCCCTTGTGATTCAATCCCTTAGGAGGGGTAGAAGTTATCTTCAGAATTATCAAACGGAAAGGGGGGCAATTGGTACATCATTTTTATTGGCGTTCAATTCTGCTTCCAATGGTACCCTGACTCATTATTTTCTGAAGAGCATTTTCTGAAAAATAGCGTTTTAAACTTCCACATGTAATTAGAATTTGCCTGTACTGAGATGCGTTATTGTATTGACTCTTTTCGACAAAAATTGTTAGAAGAGTAAGTGGCACCGTTCCGACCGTTGAATTACAGGAATAAGTGTATTACTCGTGGGATTTTTTATTTGTTGGTTATTGTCTTTTTACATAATGAAATTCATTTTGCATAAAATCTACTAACCCTTATCTTATGAACTATTTGAAATATCGTCCATTTTGCCCTAAATAGTAAAAAAGTCTGTTTTCGAACTCCTCTCAAACATTACGGAAAACTTCACTAGGAATTTACTGGCATGCTGCTGTAATTAGTCTTTTAAGTTATTCAATATCAGAAGGTTGTGTTTTATAAACAACGGTTCAAGATGCCCCCAAAGAAATGAATCTATGGGTGTTGAATCCGGTGATCTTGGAGGCCATTTAATTGCTCCCCTTCTGCCAATATATTTATCCGGAAATCTCTCGTTCAACCACTGTCGAGTAAACAAAATATAAATGCTAAGTACATACACTATACAGCGTGACTCACGGTCGATGGTAGGTTAGACGTGCTAAATATGGTCCATATTTGATAACACAGTTTTTTATTTCAACTTCAAGTATTCTTAACAAAAAGTATTATCCGGAGTTAATACTGTTGCTGAAAATATGTGATACATTTTACTTCATTTCATCATATGATTAATAGTTATTACCTCAGAAGCTTTCATTGGATCAGTTCGAGTACAATCAATTATTTCTATATTTGACCTCATTCAACCATCCTCTCAAGTTTTGGAAGATTCATCAGATTACCCACGCGAGCCTATAATGTTTGAATTAAGTAGCAATATTAAAAACAGGTATGTATGTAGGAACCTTTTTTTATAATAAATTGTAGTTGTGCAGATTGAGAATTGTAGAATAAATTGAATATTTGAAATGATATTTCAATCCAATTTGCTATATTTTTTGATTTTCATAACTGTATATTATCAAATAATGCATAAAATCATAGTTTAGGTAAATATTTTGTGATCTTTCGACTTTGTGTACTGATTTTAGACATAGCACTTATTTCCAAATATAATTTTTCGTGTATATTTCATTCCATGTGGAAAATTTTTCATTAATTGAAACGGTAAGGGGTTCATATACACTTCCATAATTGAATTCATATAATTATCAATTGATAATTATAGGCTTTGTAAATTTTACGATTTGGCAATGTTGATTATTTCTATTGTTTCTATTGCTCAATCGAACAAGAAGCGGGAATGGGGCCGTGACGTCACCGCCCTACCGCATTCGATTTTTAATAATTAATTACGGGAAAACTAGGGTACTCAGAGAGTTGAAACAAAGTGCACTGTTTTTCAATTTGGAATTTCTATCAAGTGAGCTATAAACCAAAAATCATGAAACAAGCCCATACTTCTGTTGGTTTAGAACGCAATTTTTCTGAATAAGCTTATCAAAAAGTAATAAGTAGAATTGAACAAAAATCAAAATGATGTGGCACTTGACCCCCTTCTCATTTAAAATTGTAAGAGTAACATCTACTCCTCCTAGGGTGTTGAACCCACGGGGGCTACAAATAGTCCTTGAAAGTGTCCCCCTTGACAATAAAAATGACCTGTTTTTCCAAACCCCTTATTGTTTACTGGAAGGATGATATTGAGGGTAGAAGGTTTTCTAATCGACATCCTGTATAGAATGCCAAAATACTCGTAGATTTGTAACTGAGTTTATTGTACAAGCTCTGTTGAAAAAATTAAGTGAATGTTCAAATTTTCCAGGCTATGTACTCTCGCCTGTCGGATATAATTCAACGCCCTTCGTGGTATTAGGCAGGGGAGTAGTTGTTTTCTAATAGGCGTTTTGACGAGATAAACTGAGAGGGGACTTAGTTGAAAATATTTTTTTTTTAGCTGTATACAGTGCATTTCAGTTGAAATGAGCCACCCTGGATAAAAAGTTTGATATTGAGACTGTGAAAAATTGTTCAACATGTCAACTTCAGTTTCAATAAAAATTAAACCCCAGAAAAATTGTGTCTGTGACCATTGAGACTCAAATTGCATTTTCGAAGAAACATACTTTTTTGTTTTTTCTTTGATGCATATAGAATGGTGAACTTTTAACTAAAGAAAAAATCAAGTCTCTATGGATGTGTCACGCAGACAGAATTTATCTTTTCCATGGTTTGCCATTCATGGTACAGCCTAGCACTAGCGATGAAACTATAGGTTGAAACAGCTATATACTGTAGTATCACGAATGCTTACTCGTAGATTTGTAACTGAGTTTATTGTACAAGCTCTGTTGGAAAAATTAGGTAAATGTTCGAATTTTCCAGGCTATGTACTCTCGCCTGTCGGATATAATCCAACGCCCTTCGTGGTATTAGGCAGGGGAGTAGTTGTTTTCTAATAGGCGTCGATCCATTCAACCTACTGTGTAGGTATATCCGAGACTGGCTTGGACGTTAAAGTTCATTACTTTAGATATATTTACTGCCAGTCTTCAAGCATAGCCCACTGAATAATAAGAAACTAAGAATGTTGACAGTGGCATACAGCAATTTTACTCCGAGTCAGAAGAATATATCAACAAGTGGTGAAAGCTTTTCAAAAAAGTTTGGGAAAATGTGAATGACGACCCTAGCTCTGGACAATCGATAAAAATGTTGGCAAAGTGAAGGAAATTGTTTTGGAGAATCGTCGAATTACTATAAGAGAGTGTTACTGAGCATCTCAATTGGCTTATGCCATACAATTTTTTCGGAAATTTTGGGGCTTCATGCTCAAAAACTCCGATAAAATTGGCAAAATCGGTTTTTCACTGTCAAACATAATGAAAAAATTTCGGATAAATTTCCAGGTAGGTCAGATGTAGGTACCACAAGGATCAAATCTAGGTCCTTGTGGTACCATAATTCATAATTTTTATCAATGATTTACCATCAAACATCAAACAAAAAAAATTTAACATCAAATATTCGGACTGTCTTCTTTTTGCTGATGATTCGAAACTCTTCAAATCAGTTCAAACAGTCCGAGACTGTACATATCTGCAAAGGGATATAAATAACATCTCAGATTGGAGTTTGAGGAATAAATTATACTTCATTCTTAATAAATGTTCAGTTATCTCAATGTCATCACGCATAAAGGAGCCAATCATATTTAGTTATGAGCTTGATGGTGTGGTTCTTGAAAGAAAAACTGATACTGAAGATCTTGGATTGGGGTATAATACACAATTCTCATTCGTTGATCATATACGAGATATTATGAAATCTGGTAGTCGAATGTTGGGTTTTGTAATCAGACAAACTTCTTCATTCTCTAATATAGACATTATTAAATTACTTTATTTTTCGTTGGTAAGACCAAAATTGGACTTTGTTTCTATTATTTGGTTTGCGGAGTACCAAACCTATATGAAAGAACTAGAGAAAATTCAGAACAAATTCTTGAGGTATCTATTTTTTAAGCGATATCACAGGTGGCCAAACTATAACTCAACAAGGTGTTTGGACTTACGACATGAATTTAAAATATTATCTTCAGAACAGCGACGCCAATAATCAGCAATGATATTCATGCATAAACTCTCGAATAACAACATTGATTCTTCAGAAATTCTCAGTATGTTAACATTTCACGTACCTCCTCGTCGCACCCGATTTTAGCTCATGTTCAATATTCCAACCGTAACTACCGCAACGAAAGCACCACTAATATCCTTACTAAAGTTAGTTAATAGTTTGAATATATCAATAGATCTTTATTGGACACTTTCCCAATCAGCATTCCGCAAAAATATTTTGGAAAATATGTTAAATTTACCTATTTAAGCAGTATTTCCCTTTACAATTCTGGTACATATTTTATTATTTTTATATATTCATAAGTATTTCAAAGATTATATGAACTTTAATTTTTTTTATCCATGTAATTAGGCTGTAATAGCTTGTGTGGATGATAAATAAATAAATAAATAAAGTCCAGAAGAGTCAAGACCAAAATGAGCACGCCAAGTTCGAATAAATGCCAAGGTTTCACTAACTGTTTTTTTTTCGATTACCGTGTTGTAGTGCATCAGAAGTTTTTGCTGTATGGTCCTACTACCAATAAAACGTATTTATTATCTTGAGGTAATGCTCCGCTTGCGAAATTAAATACGAAGAAATCGTCCGGTATTATAGAAAAATCATTCATGGCTTTTGCATCACGATAATGCACTTGCTCACTCGTCATTGCTCGTAATATTTCGACCAAAAACAACACCATAATCATGTATTAGCCACCGTATTTACCTGATTCGGTCCCCTGCGACTTTTTTGTTCTCTGCTTCGATTGAAGATACACATGGAAGAACGGCGTTTCGCGACGATTGATGAGATGAAAATCGAATCGGTGAGAAAGTTCATGGACATACAGTGCATATAAGAACTACTTCGAGGATTGGAAAAAACGCTGGCACAAGTGTATTATACCTGAGAGGGCCAACTTTGAAGGGTATCAAATATAAATTGATGAATTAACGAATATATTATATGAAAAATGATAATTTACTTAATTTTTTTGACAGATC